ATTTAAATGATATGATTATGACTCTATCACAATTTTTAATTCTTTTATCTCAGGGTTAAATTCGTGCTTCAATATCTATGCTATTACATGTGGAAGGTAAGGTCCAAAGAATACCGGAATAATAAAAAACACATATGATCTAACACTATATATTGAAATAAAAATAATGAAAAATTCACACTCAAAAGTTTTCAATAAACAAAATCTCATATAATGATTCTCAATATTTTGTTCTACGTACGTGAACAATCAAAATTAATGGTACAAACAATATTTATTGAAATCTCAAAATCCCAAACTATTCTAACTCTCCTAATCAAAATATTTATATCCTTTCTAAATTAAGTGTAAAAAATTGTGTTATCAATGAAAGAAAAACTGCAGAAAACAAAACTATCTCTCTCTGATGATGAGTGGTCCAAATCCTTGTTATTTGTAGACTATACTATTTACTCGTGGCCGCTCCCTAAGTAATCAGCAATCTTACAATAAATTATTGCAAGTATCTCGTCCTTAATGATCTCCTTCAAATGCACGAATCGTTCAAATTATGCTAGCTTCTTCTTCTCTCAATAAACTGAATCTCTCGTTGGCCTGAGTGAAAAAGACTCTTGGAATATCTTTTCTTTACGATAAACTGAATCTCTCGTTGGCCTGAACAGTGACTCTTGGAATATAAGTAGAAAAATATGACTTACAATATTTTACTGGATCAGCTTCTGTCAGATACACTAACTACACGAAAACTCACAAACTTTCACTGCTACTGCTTCCTACCTCTGGGAAACTACCCGAGAACAACGGCCGTTCGCCTTGCACCCTTGGAAACCAACTGACTATCTTTTTTCCCTCAAAATTCTAGCTAAACTTTCATTCCTACATATCTATCCCACCTTTTTTAATCTCCGCCAATCAAAACTCGTCACAATTCCCCATTCTTTCATTCCGATAACAAACAAATTTTTACCTATAATTATAAAATTTCCTAAAACTTATTTACAAATAATATTTTTCTATAATTCTTAAAAACTAACAAAAACATCTTTCCAAATCTCTTCTATTGTCTATAATCAATGCGTTAATGTATTTGGAAAACCCGGTTCAATTGTTCTTTGGATTTCACTTAAAATTATGCGGGTCACTCAAGTATAGTATAACAAAAGAAATAATTTATGCATAGTACATTTTGTTTAATACAGGTAATCCAAAAATTTTAAATATTTTCCTTCTTCGAAATGTTTGTTGGGTATTATCCTAATTATCTGAATTATTTTAATGTTTTTGAATTTTGAAATATTTTAAACAAACCAATATTTTTCTCGTTTTTACATATCATAACAATATATATATATATATATATATATATATATATATATATATATATATATATATATATTTTCTATTACGTATTCTGTTTTTCTTCGCCGATGAAGAACGCTACTCCACGTTGTGTGATATCGCTCCTTAAAGAAGCAAAGAGCGCCATTCCACGAGCCATCTGAAGCCGCCTTTAAAATCCAAATTCAAATTACTTAAAATCTATATTTTCTATGCGGTTGAATGTTTGTTTAGGGTAAAAATTTGACCTAGCCTAGAAATAAAACACGAAGATTTCTTGGTGTCTCGTAAGGGGGTCAGGTTTAACTGAAATACGTAAAAAGCATGTTGGAATAATTTTATATGAGTTATTAGAAGTAGGTTAAAAGAATTTTGACACTTACATTTTCCCTTCACCTCCGTACAGAATCAGACTTGCTTTTATTTATCTTTCATTGTTTCATCGGGTGATATCATTTGAATTAATCAGAGAGAACAGAAGGAGAGAAATGGTTAACGGATTGTGGCGTTTCTAGTGAAGATAATTAATAATTAATTTGATAAACATGAATGATTGGGAGAGTAGTCAGAGAAAAAAATATAGTATTAATAATATTTACCTTTAATATGCACCTTTAAACTTGCAATAATTACTCTCTAAACGTTTTTATGTAAAGTTGAGTGCATACTGAACTCTGTCTGTAAATAATAGAACATAAAATGATTCGACGGTAACATAAAAAGAAGATACGAGTGGAATTGATCCTTCACTACCATAATGAAAATAAAATTCATGCCGCTTACATGTTCGCTGTAATCATCAGGGAAAATCTTTGATCCCATTTCTAACATACTTACCTAGAAGTTTGGTGTTTTATTAACACCTGGTAGGATTTTAGCAAATTGCAGTGTTTATCTAATAAAAATATAAGATGATAAACTGTTTAAATACGGAAATACTAACATATTTTGAGACAGAATTTATTAAAATAAGCATACTGATCCAATTTATTCGTTTCCAACAAAGTATTTATTCCTTATCTTGAATATATATTTGTTGACTGACATTGATAGTTTTGATAGCTATTTCCCAAATATGTAACAGTAGATAATTTTTGATTGGTGGGTGTTGTTATAGTTACCTTCAAAAAATAATCTATAGATCTAAAACATTGTTAGTTTACTATACTTACTTTTGATAGTAACGAAATATAGTATTATATGTTTTGTTTTGGTTTACGAATAATATTCTTTAAAAAATATTTTTTGTGTTCATCACGTTTGCTTTTTTCCAGCATGTGTTTTACGAGCGTACCTAATGTATAAATAGCAGTTTACGACTGAAAACGAATAAAGGCACACATAATTTTAAAGTCAGTGGCAATACCAACAGTATATGTTTGTATTGTTTGTTTGTTCCTAGATTACAATTCCCTACAGATATTAATATGCAGATAGTAAATTTACCCGCTCTGGCTACCTGGATAAAAAAAATTCGTTATAATCATTTGTCTGTGCAATTAATACCCGTGATTTCACGCGCAGTGAGGAATACCCTCACATGAAGAGGGCTGTCACTTCTATCAAGTATCAGAGCATACCTACTGACTGTCTAAAATGTTCTGAAACGTTGTTATCTTTTATGAACGATGCCAAACGCATTCCTTGATGAACGATGCTAAACGAAGTCCGACTGAAATAAACGATACCTACAGCCCAGAAATAACAAACGAAGAAGTAACTATGGTCATTACGTAGATTGAAGGTGGGAAATCGCAGCTCTTACTAAGCTATTCAACAGCGTCTATTGGCTACTATCAATATTCATTCCACTTCCTAAAAAAGCCAACGCTAGAAAATGTGAAGAACATAGATTAATTAGTTTGATGAGCCATGTAGTTCAGTGTTCAATAGATGAAGTTCAATTTGGATTCAGAGCAGGACTCGGAACGAGGGAGTTTGCAAGTTTTAATACGTATAATGTGTAACGTATAATGTGTATGCATGTTTCATTGATTTCGAGAAGGCATTTGATAAAGTCCCACATGGGAAACTAAAATACATCGGGTTCGATGGTAAGGATATAAGACTGATCTTAAACTCATATTTCTAACAAAAACCAACAGTGCGATAAGAAAATGAACTGTCCGAGATCTTCACAGTCGAAAAAAGGTTTCATATTGTCACCGGCATTATTTAATATGTACTCTGAAAACATCTTTAGAGAGGCCTTGGACGAATCAGAAGATGGTGTTGCTGTAAATGGCTAACTTATAAACAATATTAGATATGTAGACTATAAAGTGTTGCTGGCAGGTAGTGCGCAGGGGCTGCAAAGGATGATGGATAGCGTTGTAGAAACATGTAACAAATACAGCAAAATCTGAATTGCAAGGAAAAAATAATGATCATTAGTAAGAACACCAACATAAATTACAATAGGCACCGCTAGAAAGAGTAAAGAAATCTGCTATTTGGGCTGCAATATTAAGGATACTTGGGATCACAGCTACGAAATAAAAACTCGTATTGAAAAGGCCAGAAGCTCCTTCAACAGCCTTAGGAAGATTATCTGCAACTTATTTTAGTATCAATACACGCGTAAGAATTCTTAGATGTTACGTCCTTAGTGTCCTTCTCTATGGAGTAGAAAGCTGGAGCCTTATAGAAGATGCCATAAAACGATTAGAAGCATTTAAAATGTGGTGCCGCCGACATATGTTAAGGGTCTCATATAGACACCACACAAGTAAAATACCTATTCTCAAGAGGCTAAGAAAAGACAAAGAAATTATTAACCAACTGGTCTAACGTCAACTGATCTATTTCAAGCTGCTGTGGATAGAATAAGCTGAGGCAATATGGTCGCCAACATCTCCAGAAGATAGGCACATTTAGAAGAAGATGGTGAAGGTTATCGTATTAGCTAAGATAATAAATACCATTGCTTATAACTAAATATGGTGAGGAATTCGCTAATAGCGCATGTAATGGAGGTTAAGAGCCATTCAAGAGCTGATCAAAAATAAGAGGGGCGGTCTTAGAGGTCCCAGATTAAAGACATACACCGTCTTCTAATGATTAGAACATTTCTAACAGATAATTATTTCTAATCTCTACAGTTATGGGGTGACGATTTCTTAGCATCGATGATATTAAAATGGTCGGGCTGATGAGTAGTTTTCCTCTGGTGACCTGTTCCAGGACGTTAAGTTTAAAATCTCTTTTACAGTTTACTTTACACAGTACTGAATCCACGTTACTTATAGCCACGTCTTGACTTATTCTGTTCGGAATAAAAGCAATAATACATGCCATAGTCTTTTCTAAAACACACAGCCAATGTCCGGTCAACATAATGTTACCAAGGTTATAGTAGAAACAATTAAAATTACGTAGCCTAATTGTAAAATTAGAGGCAATATAACTGTAATACCCAAATATTATGTTTATAAGGGGTTAAGCCACAATTGATTGTAAATAAATATTTCATTTTTAAGTAACGTTTGGCGTTTCAGTTTTCGCTACAAAAATCTTTTAGAAATAAAAAAATGTTTTAGATTTTTTTTAAACTTTATCAAACTTTATTTAAAAATGTAATTTTCATTACAATTAATCAATTATAAAAATCATTTCTATAATAAAATATTATGGAACGCATTCATTTTATTTGTTTATTTTAGGATGAACAAGAAACCGCTCGAGTTTGTATAGAATCTTACGTTAACGTAACATCCCTAGAAGAGGAACTGGAAGAGAAAAAAAAGACAGGTTCTATGGATGAAGTGTTCTCAAAATACTGTAAGAAATGGCCAGACATTAAGGGATGTTTTGATAATGCCATTTCTATTTCAAGATCGTGTATGGATAAAAAAGAAGAAGACGCCTTCAATAGAACGCTGGATATTATAAACGATTTGCAAGAATTTATGTGTTACAAGGATGGAGATAGATTGGCCAGTAAGTATTATGCATCCATCGTGATGATCCTTTAGTTCTAAAATATAGACTATATACGTAGCATAGATTATATCTATGATAGACAAAAGCTTTTCAGAGCCGGCCAAAATTGTAAGAAAAAATTTTGACGAGCCATACCAAATCATTTGAATATTTCAAAAAATACAGTAAGTGAGAAATATTATTAAACTGAAGCGATGTATAAAGCTGCAATGTTTTATCAAATCACCACAAAGTTTTATTCGTTTGGTTCGAATTGGGACAATTATTCTTAAGAGTAAACTGCGTGAAACTAAACCGTCAATCTTTTCTAATCTCATTATTCAAAAAGCTGCTTCCAAATATGATAAAATATTAGAAAACTCGTTCAACAACTCCTTTTCGACCTCCACTTTTGAAACAATTAGAAATAATTGTTTGAGCTTATTATTAGATTGGAGTTCAACTATTTCAAGCTGCAGGTCTAGTTTCGCCGCTTTATAATAAACAATAAAGGGTCTCATTAAACTATTAGATATATTTAGTATGCCTTCAGTAATTTTCAATTCCACTGAAGTCTTTGCCATGAAGTTTCCTCAAAGTTATCTTCATAATTGCTCAGCTTGTCTTTATTTACAACGATCAATTAATTGTTGGAATGAGACAGAAAAACAGAACAATCTGTTTAAAACTGGTGCCTCCAAATATTGTCAATAAATTTATTTTTCCCATATTTCTTAACATTTAGTATGTTGTGGCAGAGTTTAGTGGAAATGTAAGTTCTGATAGTCCATCCTGATCTTCAAAGATTTTGGATTTCGCAAACCCATTTTTCTCTTCGAAGAAAGGCTTTACCTTATTACTTCTCTATTCAGTTGCCAAATTTGCTCGAAGACACATCCTGCACTAAATAATCTTACTTTCGTGCATATCAGAGTACCTATTCATACGTATTGCATAGAATTAAAATATTCTTGAAATTGTCTATGATTAAGCCTACGGGATCGAATAGTATTTACGAGTACAAGTTTTGCGGTCTTATCGAGGACTAGTTTTATATTTAAGGAGTTTACACATGATGTCTTTATGTATGATATACACTTGTTCAATTGAAACCTATTTTTGATCAAGTTAGCCTTGGAAACAATTGTAATCACTCAACTGATATTCTATAAATGTTTGTAAACGTCACACTCATCAGTTCCTATCAATTGTATTTGACTGCGATTTTAAGTATTGTGACTTAAAATTGGGGTTTGGTGTTAATAATCCGTCCAAATATAATCAAAATACGCTCATTCAGTTGAGCTCTCACCTGGTGTCATTCTTCTGCACAGCAATGTCGCCAAAGTAGTGAAAGAAAATGGAGAAAAAGAATGGAGGATATTAGAGCATCCACCCTATAGTCCCGATTGATCGATTTGCGATTTTCACATCTTTGGGACTCCGAAAAAGACATTAAAATGTATATATATATATATATATATATATATATATATATATATATATATATATATATATATATATATATATATATATATATATATGAACCAGAAGTATTTGCTGACCACGTAAGGAAGTAAACTTTAAATATTGGGTATGCAGCAATTTGATTGCTGCATACCCATATTTAAAGTTTACTTATATATATATATATATATATATATATATATATATATATATATATATATATATATATATATATATATATATATATGTATATATATATATATATATATATATACATATATATCGAAAGAGTTTCGGATTACGCCGAAATTTTCTAAAACGCCGTTTTCTACGTCGTTTCTTCACCGTCGATGAAACATGAATCGACTGGTAAACACCAGACACCAAGGAATAGTCGAAACAGTGGACGGCTTCCGACGAAAGTGCTTCAAAGAAGGCAAAGACTGTCCTATTGGCAATAAAGGTGATATCCTCTATTTTCTGGGATTCGCAAGAGTTGATCTACATCGACTACCTGGAGAAGGGTAAAACGGTCACAGGACTCTACAACGCCAAATTGCAGGAAAAAAGACCACATTTGGCGAAGAAAAAATACCTCTTCCAACGTGACAAAGCATCGGCACATACCTCCGCCGTCGCCATTGCGGAATTGGTCGAATTGGTCTACGAAATGTTACCCCATCCACTGTATTTTCTAGATTTAACCTCGTGCGACTTGTTTTTGTTTCCAAACTTGAAAAAGGCACTTGCCTTGCAAAAATTTAAGTCGAATGAGGAGCCGCCTACTTTACAGGACTCGAGAAAACGTATTTTTCAGACGGATTAAAGAAGTTAAAGCATCGCAGGGTCAAGTGTATCGAGCTAAAAAGAGGCTAAGTTCAGAAATAAATCGCCGTTTTCCCAAAATTTTCATTTTTGTTTGTAAGCTAAGTATTTATCAGTTGCTAAAATTTCTTTAGCGGCTCTTTGTTATTTAATGCAAATCATAAAAATGGATGTATAGTTGTTTCAAAATTAAATTAAATGTTATTTTTGTTAAATAATATATTATTATATACTTAAATAATAATATCCATTTATGTTTATGCATTATATACAATTTTCTTTGTTGGTGTTGTAGTACCTAATTATACCTATAATTTAATTTTTCAGTGTTTGTTGCTGAAGGTGGCGTCGAATGTATGTCAGAGAGGAAAGATGGTATACAAGATTGTTTAAATAAAACTCTTGGCTCAAGAATACCTGATACTGATGATCTTTCTGTCACAAATTTACCAGTTATGCTCTTTACAGATAGAGATTGCAGGTAAGTATATTAAACCATAAGGGTCCAATAAATATTTGTGTTGATTCTCTTATTATATAGAACATTTGATATACTTTAATGATAGTTCGGTGGATAATGTATTGCAGTTATGCTAATATGCTGAGACCAAAAATTAAATCAATAGAATGATCAAATTTTACTGTTTGTGAAGATAAAACATAACAAATGTTATTGATCCTTTTCGGAAAAAATATTGTTTTTTTTTTCCAGTGTTTTTTTTTGTTGTATCTATTTAACAATAAATAACCTTTATTTTTGCGCAAATTTTAATCCGTAATAGTAGTTTGCATTCATTTAATTTTGAGTTTAAGAGAATAGTTGTATCAGCTGTATATTTAAATTGCTTTATCTTCCCTTACCATTACATAAAATATGCTAAACATGAGTTAGCATGCAGCGTTCCTTTATTCCTTTACCCGTAACATCTGTAAGTAGCTAGTTATCTGCTTAATTTTGACTTTGGTGCTGTTAGTAATATAAAAAATTATTCTTCTTTTTTGTATGGGTCTTTATATATCTGGCCATCAACCTCCATTAGGACCTCTTCTGTGCCCTCGTTCTTCACAGTACGAATCCTGGCAAGGTGAGAATTTTTATTAAAAAAAATTGTAGCAGTCGTTCGTATCTATGTAATTATTCATTATTTGTCAAGACAATGAAGATGAGACTTTACTTAGTAACAAGGCAATCAACACACACTATAACATACTCTATGTACAATAAGCCAATTGGCTGGAGTAGGACAAAAAATATTCAATATGCAATGGCTTAGGAAGCACAGTGGTCCTATTTAGTCTAAATGTACAGACACAAGGCTGCTTGGATGTAAACAAAAATGTGTGTAATAACAAATACACGGATTATTAACGTCATAGAACGACTATAATCGAAGAGCAAAAATAAAAATAAACAATAAAAAACTGCAAATTTTTGTTGTCAATACTTCCACAAAATCTATTATCACAACAGCTGTTTCGGCAGAGTACTTTTCTCAAGTGAGCTATTTTTGTTATGAGTCTACACTTTATATTATGTATAACTTATTTAGTTGAATATTTATAACTTATTTAACTGAATAAGTTGAGGAGGGACGAGATGTTTGCCTTAAGTTGGCCATTCAGAATTATATATCTGTATTTTTTAATTTGTTAATTTTCATAGATTCTAATAAAGATAGCTTAAGGCATTTATTTTGAATGTAAAGAATTTGAAATTGGTCATTTAAAGAATGATTATGATGTAGAAGGTAAAGTGCTTACGTAGAATTTGTCTTCCTATTATTGAAAGCCTTTTTGTGTTCTTCTATACGTTTGTGAAAGGTTCTACTAGTTTGACCGATGTAAGTTTTTGAGCAGTTGCCACATGTAAGTTTGTATACACCACGGTGTAAGTGCTTTTTCTTTTGGCTCTTGTTGTTCTTAATATATTTACTTAGTTGTTTTTTGTTCTAAAAGCTGGCGTGATTCCTTTTTTTATGTGTTTGGCTACTTTTGTTGATATTTTCCCTGTATATATTGAGCAGAAAGTACTGGATTTTTTCTCGGTAGGTGTAAAGACTAATTTCAGGGATTCTTATGCCGTTTTTGGTTTAAAATTTTATTTATTATTTGTTCGTTGTAACCATTGTTTACTGTCTAATAATAGCTCTATCTCTCTCTCTTTACGGAAGCAAAGGTTTACAATAGTACCTACAGGGTTATGATACAGATTTTACAAGAGTAAATAATAACAATATTATGTAAATTATATTTTATTAAACAACTTTACTGTGTATTCTTTAAGAAGTCTATTAGGCTCTTGAGTCGGCTTGAACAGTGCAGGTCTTTTAATCTGTGGATTGTATTCTTGGCAATGCAAATGGCCTGGCAGTGTTGACATTCTGTGAGAATGTGCTTGACGGTAATAAGAATACCGTTGCAGTGGGAGTATAACTATTGGTCTGTATAGGACATAAGATGATCGTGTGTCAAACGTGTGTGTTATATCCTCAATCTTCGTATTGCTATTTTCTCTTTTCTGTTCAGGTATGCTAGGGATAAATAGCTGTTAATATTAGGTTGTATTTCTCTGAGCTTTGTGTCCTTGGTGATCCAAAGTTCCTGTCACTTGGCGTGGATACTCCTTTTGAATTTTGATTTTAAATCTTCTTGGAGCTATACGTTAGTCCCTCGGGAAGTGTGGACATGGAACGATTGAACGAAAGAATTGCATATAAGGAATCGGTGCACAGAGTTCACTTTGATGATTGTCAAAAGGGAACTCGAGAGCTTTTGAAATACTGAAGAGTTCTCCTAAAAACACGCTACCTTCGTTGGATATTCGATATTGTTCTAATAATGTATCAACTGTAGTGACAGAACAGCCAACTCCATCTGCGTTTCGGGATGCATCGGTATAAAGCACCTTATCATAGTGGGATGTATTCACAATATCATTGAAAGCTTGTCGAAAAATGATATTATTTGTTTGTTGCTTATTAAATTTACAGAGGGAAGTCTTTATAAAAGGAAATGTTCTAGACCATGGCGGGATTCTATATGCAAGTGTTTGAGATAATCTTAGGTCTTGGCACAATAATGTAGGATCTGTGGGGCTGAAAGTATACATCTGGGCAAGTTTACGAGTTCAGGTCTTTGCGAAGTCAGAAGATTAAATAAGGATTAGTCGGATTCTCGCCAATACAACCTTTAGATTATTTCCACAAATACAAGTACCTGGCCAAATAGCAGCAACGATGATTTTCCCAAAGGATTAAAATCCATAATTGAAATTTCTGTAGCTCCTTTATCAGAATACAATAATTATATAGCAATAAAACTCTAAATACAAATCCCAAATCCATATGCTGAGATTTTATATATTCATTATCACCTTATATTATATGCTATCAAGTGAAAGTCTTACTAAATTCATGATGAAAAAGTAGACGCCTTGGATAAGTTATTGTGACTATTGAAAACATGTTTAGCTAGAGCTGTATTTCTTTCACTCAGCTTAGGAATATTTTGACTGATTCAGTGCCGGAAAAGTACAATACAACAATTCCTAGCGCTCACTATTAAACCTACTGTTGCAGACATGTTTAATTAATAAAGAAGAATAATTAAGTATAAATAATGGGAATGTATATTCAGTTTTATTAAAAACTTTCCATTCTTAAATACTAATCGATAAACAACTATTAAATTTTAAAAATAAACACTTACACCTTTGATTTAATTGATTCAATTTTGTAAATAAACTGCATGGAAATATTTGTGTATTTTTAAGTTAGGTTCATATTGGCTATGAACACGTGTGCTTGATTGTATAGTAATTTTCAGTCAGCCAAAATGTAACCAACTGGGCAACAAAATAATTAGTACGAGTATATCAATGAAGAAATCTTGCGAAGACAAAGGAAACAGATATTGTAACCTCGGAAACCGTTTTTGGATGGTGTTAGAAAGGTCACCAATTGAGGCACTGCGAACGGCAGCTAGATGGTTGTTAAAGAGCGAGTCGGGGGTTCGAAACTGGCTTTTGGAACCGGGAATGGATCCAACAGAAGAAATAATAAAGATAAGACAAGATAGATTAGAAAAGACAGAGAAATAGAAAACAAGAGAGATAGGTAAAATTACCAAAGATAAGGAAAGATAATAAAAAGGACGCCACTTAACTTTTTAGGGTTACAAGAGGAATGTTCTGTGAGCAAATACAAGAAAGGATATTAAAAGTTAATTATTAAGTAAATGTGCTCAACACACTTCATAAACAAATAATAAATATTATATTCGGTGGAATTCGTCCACCTACTTACCTACAAACATATCTGTAGCTGGCGTGAATAAGTGGATAAGTACAAAAAATAAACTTTCCAGTATGGGCAAATTAGTGTTTAAACATGTCTCCAAAATCAGGTTTTTCCTTAAATGCTGGTTTTACAAGGTTAAAACAATAAAAATACGGTAACTTAAAATAATATTAAACGTTTTTTAGGATATAAATTATTTTAAGGGTAGTTTCATGACTTACCTACTTATGTACGCACACTTGATACAAAATACAATGAGATGTCTTGTTATTCGCGAGCATGATTAGAGGTTTTGCAACGAAAAAATAAAGTAATTAAACAAATTAAATGTTTATTAAAAGCTACAAACATATGAAGAATCCTACTCTACGTCTGGATCAATTTCCGTTAGGTCTGGATCTACAGATGTCAAATCGTTTGTAACCAAGTTTACGTAAAAATTGTGAAACACATCATCTATCAGCGGCAAGAGTTTAAGGAGGTCATCCTTGTTTTCCTTACTGATTGGTACAACTTCTTCATTGACACATGGCAGAGCTGCAGGAATAGACTGTTTTCCTCTTCTTCGTATATTTAATGTTTAAAATTCTTCATCTCTGTTTAGAGAGTGTTTATATTTCAGAGTTCCGATTTGTTGTGTATATTGTAACCACTGCGTAGGTTGCCAAAGGAATCTATCACCAACCTCATTAGTTTCTTTAAGCACGAAAGGTCCTTTACCTTTACCTAGACTACTGAAATCAAAAAAATGTTCTCTCTTCATAACCACTACGTCAAATAGGTTTTTTCTTTTACATGATCTCACGAGTTGATACCAATCATTTGGGTGATTGATTTTAATAGCTGTTTTCTTCTTTGCTTTTTCAATTACGGCATGATCAGAATCACACTCCATGTGTGTATGACCACTAACTAAGAATTTATGGTTAATTTCCTCCAAATTCGGACACTGCTTCATGACGTAAGTAAACATAAAAGCTACGTGGCTATTTTTATTTTGTCCTCCGCATGTGTCCGAGTAAAAAGTAACTTTTTCAATATCGGACGGCAAACTACAAATGTGTCGGTAAATGCAAGAAGCAATTTGATTTCCTCCTCTACCAGATACAGATTCATCCCACATATAACATTTCGCTTCATCAGTAGCTGAATCATGTACTGTGAGGTTGAATGTCCACAACTGTCTGGAATAAAATGCTTTATTGGTTGTTAGATAAGGAGTGGGCAAACATGGTTGAAGGTTTGAAGTTTTAAGTTATTAGTTTTTGACACAGATTTGTCACTTTTTTTTGCCATGTATGCCTGTTCCACAAGTATGTGATGATCATCCCTCTCCTTAGTCACTAGAACTTTGGCATCGTCATCTGCTACATTTAATTTCATTTACAACAAATCACACTTGTAACAAGTGTCTTGTTTGGGTTGCTTAAAAGCCAAGTTCAAGTCATGAAAAGTTTTACTATATAATTTTAGTGAAACTGGGCGATCGTTTAATTCTTTATACATTTCATACATTTTAGTTATTGTTAAGTCAGGTGACAGAAACTTCTTTGTAGTTCGTTGCCGACAATAATGACTTTCATAATAGGGGTAGGAAAGAATGTGCTTTCTCACAACGTCCATCTCTTTTTCAGTCTTTTGCTTGGTGGAGATAACAAACCTCGACCATCTCCAGAAATAATACCACATAAAGATGTTTTTTTCTTTTTTACCACCATCTCAATCAAACCTTTTGTTTCAACAAATATTTTGGAAAAACAATTTTGGCAGCAACGGTGTAGGGTTTGTCCAGTTATGATTCCTTAACTGCAGGCATAGGCACGTGTTTTTTGGGATTCATTGATTGTAACCTTTTTAGTTTTTATACTATTTAAAGTAATAAGGGATGCTAAATAGCTGGCACGTTTGTCATGGGTCCCCAATTTCCAATAGGCTTGAAAACAAGCTGTGCAGTCCTCTTCTGTAAATCTTTCAGCACATTTCATCCTACAAGGTGTTAACTGTTTCATTTGTCTAGCACTTACTTCTTTGCCTTTTTCAGATGTGTATGCTTGACCAGTATTTCTTAATATTGTTGCATTCTCTCTTTCTTTTCTTGAACGCCCTTTCTTCATACGTGCATGAATTATCAAATCGTTGTTTTTTTCTGAGGAAGTAATTACAATATTATTATTACAGTTAGTTGACATACCATGTTTTGCTGTTTTATAGTTTTTTATTATTCTCCTATCGCTTGATGTTCTCTTTCTTTTTTTATTACGGCTATTGCATACTTTTCCATTTAAATCAGTATCAGAAAACGACTCTAAAGGGGAAGGCTAAAATTCTGGGTCGTTAATACTGTCATCATCTGACTCAAAAATATCAACAGCATTATTAACCTGTTTATCTTGGTTTACTTGCAATCCATAAAAATTTGCACTCGACGTGCTTGGCTCAAGCTGTTTAAACTGGTAATTTTCAGTTTTGTCAATCATAATATTTGGTGGCTCATTTTCTTTTGTTTCTGAGCATTCGATCATGGTAACTTGATGTTGATTAATTTCTGAAACAATACCTACAAAAAAAATACCTTTGGAATTTTCTACATTTAACGACTTTTATACTACATATTAATTTTGTATCCTTTTTCACTGTTATCATTTATACTTATTCACGGACAAATTCAGTGTGGTATTTTTAATGTAACTAGAGTTATCGAGTAATGCACTTCAATCTAAGAGATAACCAGTAATGCACAATGTGTATAAACTGTTGCATACTTTTAAGTAAAGTTACGTACTTATTCACATGATAGCCATAGCCCATATATTTATAAAGCTGTTGGTACAACTTACCCAGTATTTCACAAAACTTGACTTATCGACTTATTCACGCCAGCTACAGATATACAGCCTGATCTTTTTCCTGGTCGAAAATATCGTAATAGTTAAATATTTTTATTAGCAAATATTCAGAGATACTCTATTATCAGGAAACTTATTGGGAGTGGATAAATAAAATTCAGTAGGTAAACAAAACAAAATATATTCAATAACTGAATCACCAGACGGGTGAATTCCAAAAACGAAATACAAATAAATCTACCGGAACATGTAAAAAATGTGAAATCTTTCAATATAACAGACACAGACACATGCACATACAGATAAAATATAATATTAAGGAGAACTTGATGTTTTAAAAGAATTCCAAAAGTGTAGATCATCTAAATATCTCTCCTTAATGTTTTAGGCTTATCTCGAAATAATTGGCTTTAAAAGTAATAATTTATAGCAAGTACAAAATAATACTAAATTAATTTACAATAAAGTTGCAGAAGTACAGAGACAAGATTATAAAGGTTTTACCAAAAATTAAAATAAGGACCAAACCACACATGGTTCGCAAGAAGCTACTCGCACAGCTTTTATTTAAATAATGAATGTAATTAATTTTTGTTAATGAAAAGATATGAAAGTTAATAAAAGTTCTGAAAAGTGCAATTGATGAAATCGTTGTTCCTTAGAGGAATTGATTGCATCGGTAGTTAGCTTTAACCGCGATCAGGAAAATGTTGTCGAAGATAGCCCGGAATCTACTTACTGTCCGGAGATACTTGGAGCTAATATTAATAGTTAGACCAGTTATAGTAACTCTAGATGATGTTGCCTCTTAAATCACTTATAGGATAAATTCCCAGAGAAAGAAATATGTCCAAACTCTAAGAGGACCAAACCAAATAGTCCTCTAATCTCTTAGTCCCACGAAGTGGGAAAACGGAAATCCAACGAAAAGTGATTCTCTCTTTTTCAAATTGGACAAACTATCCCCTAGCACAGAATCATCCCCACTTAAAGAACTCCCTCTTTTCAAGAACCGACTCATTTTCTTTTTGGGCGTAAACATATACACATAACGATATTTTTTAAAAAGGAAGCAAAAAGGCAAATGACTGTACCATATTGAGGAAAAGGTTCTCTTTGAAGTAAAGCCATTTGTAAGAAGTTTAACATATTTTTATTACTCTCTTTGAATGTTCTTTGTTCCCAAAAAATTCCCAATAAAAAAGCTGAAAGATATAGGTGCCAAAGGGAGATTTTTGGGTACGGCCATTGGTGTAACTGCGATAATTGCTAAAGGTTTTTACAATTAATATTACCGTAATATATAATAATTACTTATCTAATTATAAAAAAAATTTACAATCTAATTGACGAAATAAAAATACTCCAATATCTTAATTTAAGTAAAACGAAGATCAGTTTAGAGAGATTCAAATAGTGTTTTAATTCCATTATCTTAATTGGAACTTCCGATTGGTATTGGATCTTCCAAATTGAGAGCTCATTGATCTTAATTCAGTTTTTTTGATTGTGTACAAAATTACTGAGCGTTCACTTCGGCATTTCCAAGTCATAATATAAAAATTATTACTATTACAGAGTTAAATTTTTGCCAAAGTTGGCAGCTATTATAAAAGACTAAAACTTTTTTATTCAACTCAAAAGAAAAAAACTTTTTCATTAATTATTATATTTTTACAGCGATTTCGAAGAAGTCAGAGAATGTGTTAATCATGAACTAGAGAAGTGCAAAGATAGTACTCCCGCAAATATCGTCGACGCCTTCTTCAAATTCTTAAAGAAACAACTACCTTGTAAAGGAACTCTAGCACAGAAGAGCACTAAACCAAATTCTGCTTGGTCCATGTCTAGCAGTTCACTACTTTTGGTTATTTCCTTTTTGTATATCAGGCTGTATTAAACTCTCTAATTTTTTACAGTGGGTGAGCAGATATTCTTACGCATCTAGTTATTATGCCATAATAATAATTTTATTATCAGTAGTGAGATCTAAGTTTAGAAATATATTCTGAAGCATTGAGTTGTTTATATGTCTGTGATAACTTAATATCTGCACAAAGAAAACATCATAACAATTTTTATTCAAAATAGTATTCGGCAAATATATCAATCTGAATATAAAAGTTATAAGTGAAAGGATTCAATACAAAAATAAATGATTTCATCAATGAAGTCGTCCTTAGTAACAAAGTAATATAATCCAGGGCAGTATTGCAATAAACTGAAATTTATTTACTAGATTTCGTTCTCTATCTTGCGAACTTGCGAAATATTATATAAATTTTGGTGCTATAAAATTAGGTAAGTCAAATAAATTCATTTCCAAGTTAAAGAAAACTAAATCTGTTGTTTGTTAAAATTTCAAAGATATAATAAATTGATTAACTAATACAAGCTATTAATAAATTATTAGAAGTTAAAGTGAAATAAAACCACGCTAATTCGTTTCCAATGAAGAAAGTAAATACATGTGTAACAATTTCAGTTTTCTTCGATGCTATTTCCGTGGTTTTAACGCTGTCATATTACTATCGATTCATCGAGTGATATTGAAACTTCAATGTATTAATAAATTTGTAATGTTGATTGTTACAGTTATAGCAAAATTTTTAGGATTCCATGTCATTATTTTTTTGCAATTGATTTGCATTACAAAGCTAGTATTATTGAACTGGAATTTACATGTTGGGAAAAAAGAAATGATTAGTAATTCGATAAATCTTATACAATTTTTAATATTTTGTAAATGTCTTTGTGTTAATCCTTTTAAAATTTCATTTAAATAAAATTTCAAGATCATTTATATTTGTTTTTTTTGGGGTTTGTCTAAATATTTCCTTGTGTTACTATATGTTTAAACATAAAGTAATCATCAATCAAACGTATCGCTCTCGTTATTTGATGAGGTGCGCAAAATGGCCGCCTAGAGTTACATCCTGAGAAACGATCGGAATCTCAGCATTCATTCAGTGGCGTATTTTCAATATGTCACTTAGTATAGTATGTGTTTAAAGTAAATTTTCGAATGACTTCCTTATGTCTGATTTAATATAATGCCTACTTCAATATATATTAAATGTTTTATTACTTTATTAAAAGTATGATATAAATTACATCTTAAGATATATAATCTTGAGTGTGGAGTCTTTGTATTCTTTCAACTGCACCATATCAGACCCGGTGTCCTCTACATTATTTATATTCTATATCATAGTTTTCCTTGATTAATTAATCTGTCGGTTAAAATTATGCTGTTTCGAATCTGGAAATTAGATCGACGTCTTTGACTTTATCAGAAATATTGTAGAGATAATAGCTTTTTTAATTACAATTTTGTTTGCTGCAATCTTTCAGTTTCGACTGAAATTAATTTTTTCAGAGATAATGTGCAGATAATAAGTTAATACAATAATACTCCAATTTTTAAGATACACACGTTTTTTTATATATTATTTCATAAACATTGTTTATAAATCTACTTAATAACGAGTCTTTTAATCTCAAATTAGGGATGCTGCCAAATATTTATGAACCCCAATTTTGGGTATTTATCAAACTTAATGCTGTACTTAGGTTATATCATAGCCTTCTGAATAAAAGTGTATCTTTAGAGACATTACAACTAAATTGTGAATACTGACTACATATCCATTAAATGTAACTTTAACAGTCTTTCAATTTTTTACTACTGATATACCATTATCTATGTCAAAAAATAGTATAAACTTGTGATATATAAAACATAATAATTCTGGATTTTAATATATTTATAAATGTTCGTAAGACCTTTTTTAATAAATGTATATATTTTAAGAGTTTGGTTTTATTGTGTGATATGTGTATGAATCTATACCAGGCACACCATCCTGCGATAACTTATTGAAAAAAAAAAAAAAAACTTCAAGAATTAAGTCAAGATCCATAAAAACACAAGTCATACGCTACGCTACCACACCGATGCGTTGAAAAATTACCCAATAACGTACAGCGTGGTACCGTCGTTAAAATTTCTTTATTTGATTTTATTATGTCCATGTATCCCGTAGGTCCCGAAATCCTACCAGAAGAAATAACGGCAGCCGTCAGACAAATGAAAGGCACCCGAACTTGATCAAATTCCTGCAGAACTACAAGAAGGCTTTAGATAGTCAGGCATGAACAAATGATGGAAGTGCTGAAGAGGACAGGGATTGACGGAACAGACTTAAAAATAATAGCTAACCTGTATTGGAATTAGTCAGCGGTGCTCCGAATAGATGGAGAATAAACACACCAGGACAAAATCTTAGGGGAGTGAGACAGGGGTGTATAATTTCACCACTGATATTCAATCTGTACTCGGAGCACATTTTTGAAGAGGCTCTAAAAGATATCGATGAAGGCATCTCAATAAATGAAGTCAAGCTCAATAACCTGCAATATGCAGATGATATAATAGTGTTTTCCAATACCATAGAAGGGCTGCAAAACTTAATGAACAAATAACGGAAACAAGTAGAACATATAGACTGAATATAAACACCAGCAAAACCAAGCTAATGATCATCAGCAAGGAAAACATAACTGGAGCAAATCTGTATGTAAACAAAAATTAGAATGGAACGTGTCTCACAATACAACTTCTTCTTGACCATGAGCTGTGTGTTGAAGAGTCATGACCTCACCAAACAAAAATAAGGCTCCTTAAACGTTACGTGTACTCAGTGCTTCTGTACGGAGTATAAACGTGGACATTAAAGGCGGAAAATATATAAAAACTTAGGATTTTGAGCTATGGTTATACAAAAGGATCCTGAAGATACCATGGACAGACAAAGTCACCAATGAACAAGTACTGCGGAAGATGAACACAACCGCGGATTTGGTCAACATCGTGAACGGCCGTAAGCTGCAGTACTAGGGACATATAATGAGAAATTAAGGCAGATACGGGCTACTTCAATGAATTTTGCAAGGTAAAATTGAAGGAAAAAGAGCCCTAAGACGAAGAATAATATTCTGGCTTGCTAACCTGAGAGTATGGTATAGAAAAACCATAACACAGCTATTTCCTATCTTCTTCTTCATGTACCATGTCCTTTCAGAACGTTGGTTACCATCATAGCTATTTTAATTTTATTCACTGCCACCCTAAATAGCATGCTTGTATCTACACCATACCAGTCTCGCAAGTTCTTCAACCATGAAGTTCTTCTTCGTCCTGGACTGCGTTTGCCTGCTATTTTTCTTGCATGATGTTTTGTAGCAATCTATATTTGGGACCTCTCATTACATGTCCGAAATATTCCAGCTTTCTCTGCTTGATGCTTTTTATGATCTCAGTAGTCTTGCTGAGACGTTCTAGTATTGTGGAGTTACGAATCTTCTCCACCCAGGAAACTTTTAAAATTCTTCTATAGCACCACATTTCGAAAGCCTCAAGGCGATTTAGATCGATTTTATTCACAGTCCAGGACTCGACAGCATAAAGTAAGACCGAGAACACGTAGCAGCGAAGTAGGCGGACCCTTAATGCCAATTTTAGGTCTCTGTTACATAACACCTTGGACATCCTTCTAAAAGCAGCTCTAGCCTGCTCTATTCTGGATCTAATTTCGCCGTGATTTTCTGCATTACAATTTAATTGCTGTCCAAGGTAGACGATTTTATCAACTTGCTCAAGTTTGATATTATTTACATATATAGACGGTTTTATATTCTGTTGTTTACTTATTACGAGTATTTTGGTTTTCCTTATGTTAAGATACAGACCTGCCTCCCTACAACTCTCAACGACACTATCAAGTAGTGTTTGCAGATCTTCTTGACTAGAAGCTAGGAGTACTGTATCGTCCGCATATCGCAAATTATTGATGACTTCGCCGTTCACAAGTATTCCTTCTTGTTATTCAGAAAGTGCTTTTCTGAAAATTCTTTCGGAGTAAACGTTAAAAAGCAGGGGTGACAAGAGGCATCCCTGCCGTACTCCTCTTTTAATATTGAGAGCTTGTGATTCCACACCATCTACTAAAACTGATGTTGTTTGATTCCAATATAAATTTGCAATTATTCGAACATCTCTGCCGTCCAAGCCAATGTCTTTTAGAGCTTCGATCAATATAGAGTGCTTAACACGATCAAATGCCTTTTGAAAGTCAATAAAACAACAGTATATGTCTACAGATATATCACGACATCTTTGAGCAAGTACGTTCATTCCAAACAGTGCCTCTCTCGTTCCAAATCCGTTACGGAAACCAAACTGAGTGTCATTCAGGTATTCCTCAGGTATTTCCTATTGCAACCAACAAAGTCATCATAGCCAGAATGACCGCTAACGTTCGGAACGGACAGGCACCCTAAGAAGAAGAATGTCCATATAGAACTAAAGCTTCGATTTCAAACAGAAATTATGAACGATATCACTGTTCTTGATTCTAAAACAGAATGAGATTAACAACTTTCCTTTAATGCGTAGAAATATAAAACAGTATGAAATGGTACATTATTTCCACTGATGGTTTTCATCAACTAACCATTTATGCTCACCACGCCCGGAAGAACTATTCGTTAGTCCGTATTGGTATTGGAATTTTTGGTGCTTCTGGGAAGAAATTTTGTATTTCGTATTTCTGAAAATTACATCTTGTATACAGTATGGTGGAAATGAAAGGAATAAATTCGTTATTTCGTAAACCGGAGACTTTAAGAAAAAATCCTGAAACGCGTCGATTTTTATTTTTAAATAAGCTATTCGTAAGAATACATTTTTATTTTTGACGTCATCTATGTGAGCGGGATGACGTCATTGCTAAAATTTTTGAATAGAAAGGGGGGTATTGTAATACATCATTTCAAAGGTCTTCTAAATACCTATTCAGCCATATCAATATGTCTGAGTATTTGATGTTTGTAATTGCTTAAAAAAATTATTAATTATTTATTATTACAATAAATATTTATTAAGTATTGATATTATGTATTATTGACACCCAAAAATAAATTTTATAAAGGCCATCACTGGTAATGAAATGTCTTTTTTATGTACTTTTTATAAAGTTAAAATAGCGATGATGATTTCCAACCTCCGCTAGGAGAAGGAACCCGAAGAAGAAGAAGATGTACTTTTTACCTTTTTAAAAAAACTAGTTACCTTATCAATATGAACATTGATAGTTGGACATTCAAACTTAATTATCTTTCTGTCAAGTGATTAATAGTATTATTGTAGTAAACGTATTCAAAAAGTCTTTGTATCTTTGAACATGAAGCTAACTGAAACGCAA